CCTTTGCTCAATTGGGCCTGTGAGGCCAGGGAGGGGCTGTTGCCACCAACTCTCCCCCTGCTTCAGCAGCCTCAGCCTGGCCTCACCCCCGCCTGATACATGAGTCATCCATGGGAACATGAGACAGGGCAAGTCTCAGCCAGGCAGCTGGGAGTCTGATGAGGTGGGGTGGGGAGGCTGAGGGAGAAGGGATGGGCTTGCTCTGGTTAGGGTGAGCAGGGGTTGGGAGCTAAGGCTTTAGAAAGGGTGAGAATGGAGACCAGTGGGAAGAGCCAGAATGAGAGTCCATGAGCTGGAATTGCAGCAGGAAGGAGTGGGGGCAGATGGACAGGGCACTTCGGTGTGCAATCTTGAAGTCTGTTGGGGATGTATAGGCACTGTCAGCAGCTGTCCCACCAGAGCCAGGACCTGAGGACCTTGGCAAGACTGGCTGTGCAGGAACATACTGTGAGGCTGCGCAGAGAGCCCCAGTTTTACTTCCCTCAGTCTCCTGCCTCAGTGGGTTCACTGTGGTCCACTGAAGTTCTGCTAAAGCTGCCAGCGCTTTCCCCACTGCAGTGGGAGGAGGCCAACTCCTTGCAAGGGTCTGCTGTCCACCATCAGGGCTATCTCTCTAGTGTCTGTTTCCACATGCTCCACACACCCGGCCTTAGCATGCAATTCACCCCCATTCCAGGAGCAGGGAACGCTGCCTCACACTGCTAGGCCGATGTACCGCCACTCTTGCTACACAATTCTGTATCACTGGCTCAGCTCTCTCTCGTGTCACCACCTCAGAGAAGCCTCCCTGACTGCCTTGCCTACAGGGCAGACTGAGTAACTGCTCGCTTCTCTCCGTGCTGCCATACCTCCTCCATTAGTCACACTGCCTTCTGACTGCTGGTTTATGCATCTGCCTGTCCAACTAGACTGGTCAGTTTCTGGACTTGTTATTTGTATATTTCTGGTGCCTCAGAGTATCTGGCACATAGTAGATTCTAATAATAATAATGGGAAGTGGTATATAGTGTTTACTCTGTGCCAGGTATTGATCCAGGAACTGTACAATTCTGGGTTTTTTTTGGAGATAGGGTCTCATTTTGTTACCCAGGCTGGACTGCAGTGGCACGATCTTGGCTCACTGCAGCTTCGACCTCCTGCTGGGCTCCAGTGATCCTCCCACCTCAGCCTCCTGAATAGCTGAGACTACAGGCATGTACCACCATGCTCGGCTAGTTTTGTTACGTTTTGTTTTGTTTTGAGATAGGATCTTGTTCTGTTGCCCAGGCTGGAGTGCAGTGGTGCGATATCGACTGACTACAACCTCTACCTCCCAGGTCCTGATTCAGGCAATTCTCCTGCTTCAGCCTCCCAACTAGCTGGGATTACAGGAGCGTGCCACCATGCCCAGCTAATTTTTGTATTTTTAATAGAGATGGGGTTTCACCATGTTGGCCAGGCTGGTCTTGAACTCCTGACCTTGTGATCAGCCTACCTCGGCCTCCCAGAGTGCTGGGATTACAGGCGTGATCCACCACTCCTGGCCTGTATTTTTTGTAGAGATGGAGTTTTACCATGTTGAACTCCTAGGCTCAAGTGATTCACCTGCCTTAGGTTTCCAAAGTGTTGGGATTATAGGCGTGAGCTACCATGCCCAGCCTGTACAATTCTTAAATCATGTAACATTTCAACAACCCTGTGAGGTTCGTGCGATTATCATGACTCCTATATTTTACATTAAGAAACTGAGGCCCAGAGAAGTTAAGTGACTGGTTCAGAGTCATACAGCAGCTAAGTGGTGGAGCCAGGAGGCAATGTGGTCACAGTGGGACTCTATGTAAAAGTGCTCTTAACCCAACACCAAATAGATTCTTAGAGTTTGTGAGTGAATGAGTAAGTGAACGAACCCACCATTTTGCTGGAAGAAAGGAGGTCAGAAGAGAGAGAGTTGGTGAGGATTAAGCCTCGAGGAGTGGGGAGCACGAGAGGGCAGAGAAGGGCATGGGCTGTGGGCTGGGGGTAGGGGAGGCTTCATGGAGAGGATGACTGGAGCCAGGCCTTGAAACAGGGGTGGAGACTAACTACAGGGAAGGACCCAGGGAGATGTCTCATGGGCTCTGGGCCTGCTCACGGGAGCTATGCCTGGGGTGGAAATAGCCTAGAAGAGCAGATGGACTCCTGGTTAGGAAGGAGCAGTGACAACTCTGAACTCAGGTTCAGAACCTTGTTGCTGTATTGGCCTGAGATGTTCTTTGTCTAAGGACCTGGGCACAGGGTCTGTAGGGATAAGTGCTCAAGGGATCAGCAGCTGTGACCTTGTGTGGTGGCAATCCTGGTCCCAGAGGCTTAGAGGCAGCATTCATGCCCTGCTTGCTGGCTGACCAACCATCCTGGTTGGCCTGGAATTCTCCGGTTTTAACATAGAATGTTCTGCACCCTGAGAAGCCTCTCAGTCCTAGGCAAACTGTGATAGATGGCCACCCTACCCACTGCCCCAGGGACAAGGCCTTGCACAACCCATCCTCATGATCTCACCAGTCAGCTCTGCCCACAGCACTCAGTCCCATTGAAGGGACCATGCAGAGTCCAAGCCTGTGGGCAACAGCCCCAAGGAAGGCATCACCCACCGATGATTCAGATATCATCAGCATTTCCTGTCTTCTCAGTAGGGAGACCTAGGCCCCCAGCCGCAAAGAAGTAAGATAGCCAGGGGTTTCTCGGGGACTCTCCAATCAGCTCTGGGCTTCCTCCTGGAAGCCAACTGCCACTCACTTTAACTCAACCCAACTTCACTGCTTTGTTAAGCATGAGTGGGTATTTGCTGCAAGGGACATAGGCCTGTCCCACATAAAGCCTGCCCCATACCCTGACTTTAAAGAGCTCCCACGGTAACTGAGACAGAGAGGGCAGCATGCAAAAGGAGCAGGCAGAACTATGGGAGGTGGGGTGGAGGGGCAAGGAACATTTGAGCTGGCTCTTTGAAGGGAGGATACAATTCTGACCATCAGAGAGAGGAGAGACGGTGTTCCAGGTGGAAGAAATTGCCTATACAAAGGTGCCAGGACCAGCAAAACTGAGGGAGGACAAGAGACACAAAAAGTGTACATAGAACCCGAGCAGCAATAGCCACGCACAGAGGAAGTGGGCTGGGAGTCTGGGCTTCTTTCTATAGGCAATGGGGAGCCCATCACAGAGCTTTGTTACACACACACACACACACACACACACAAACACAGACACACACACAGTCACAGACACAGACACACACACAGACACACAGACGACACACACACAGACACGCACACATGACACACACACACAGACATGCATGCACCCCTTATTTTTATTATAAGAAAAATGTGAAAGCACATAAATTTTTAAAGAAGAAAACAAACAATCACCTTTATGCTTCTATCTCTCAGAGAGAGTCTTTGTTAGCATTTTGGTATATTTTCTTCTACATCTATTTCTATGCAAACATAACATGTAATTGTTTTTCATACATGGGGTCATACTCTGTATACTCTGTTACATTCTGGTTTTGGTGTATTTTTTTTTGAGACTGAGTCTCACTCTGTCTCAGGCTGGAGTGCAATGGTACGATCTCAGCTCACTGGAACCTCCGTCTCCTGGGTTCAAGTGAATTTCCTGCCTCAGCCTCCTGAGTAGCTGGGATTACAGGCATGTGCCGCCACACCTGGCTAAGTTTTGTATTTTTAGTAGAGACAGGGTTTCACCATGTAGGCCAGGCTGGTCTCGAACCCCTGACCTCATGATCTGCCTGCCTTGGTCTCAGAAAGTGTTGGCATTACAGGAGTGAGCCACCACACCCGGCTCCTATATTCTGGTTTTTAATGTGTCAATATATTGTGGTTATAAAACCATACCATTACATGCCTCTCAATGCCTGTATGTTATGCTGTTCTCTGTACTATTATCTATATAGCGAATTAATCTTTTATTGTTGGATATTCATGTTCTTTTTCATTCTTTCTCTCTAACACATGAGGCTTCAATGACCATTTGAACATATTCAAATTTCTGTCTCTGGTTGTTTCTTTAGGGTAATTTTTTTTTTTTTTTTTTTTTTTTTGAGACAGGCTGGAATGAGTGGAGTGCAGTGGCGCCATCTTGGCTCACTGCAACCTCTGCATCTCGGGTTCAAGTGATCCTCCTGCTTCAGCCTCCTGAGTAGCGTAGCTGGCACTACAGGTGTCTGCCACCATGCCCGGCTAATATTTTGTAATTTTAGTAGAGATGAGGTTTCACCATGTTAGCCAGGATGGTCTCTATCTCCTGACCTCATGATCCGCCTGCCTCGGCTTCCCAAAGTGCTGGGATTACAGGCGTCAGCCACCGCAGCTGGTCCTCTTTAGGATTTAGGTGGAATGGCTGGGTCCCTCTGGAGGGTGGGCAGAAGTGAGAGGTGGTGGCAGTGATGGAGAAGGGAGACCCTGGGAGCCAGGAAGTGAGTTAAGAGTAGAGCTAATGAGAGCCTGATGACCAGAGGCTGGAATGCAAAGAGGAGGTGGAAGGCAGTAATAACAACTAGTTAGGAAATGCCCACTGCGGGCGAGATACTTAAGTACCAGGAGACCTGCCAGTAGCAGTTAACAACTTAAGCTCTAATCACAGCCCTGAGCGTGAAGCCCCGCTGTGTCTCATACTAACCACATGACTTGGGCAAGTGATTTGGCATGCCATTAAAATAGGGGTGATGATAGCCCCACTTCCTAGGATCATTGTGGGACTTAATCGAGAGAATGCCTGTAGAGTGGGTAAAGTACACAGACAGATAGTGCACAATAAATGACTGTTATTACAGTTGCATAATAATCCTCTCAGGAGCCTTGCTTTGCCTAATCCCTATTTAGAAAACTGCACGTAATTAACAATTTAAATTCGTAACACTTCCTGAGTGCTTTTACCTAATCCCAATTCCTAGCCTCCATGCATAAGGGTCTAAATTTTAGACTGTGCTAGATTGATGTTCCTTCCAGACGAGTGTCCTCATTTTACAGATGATGAAGCTGAAACTCAGAGAAGCAAAAGCAGTTGCCTGAGATTCCGCAGCCAGCCGGTGGCTCAGAGTGGATTCCTACCCTCTGACTCTGGATCCTATGCTCTTCTCACCACCTCACGGTACCTCCCTGGCATTTGAACTTCCTGGTTGAAACTGAGGATGGAGAGAGCAGGTGTGGCTCATCACAATCCCCTGGTCATCCGGTTGCGCTGCGCTGTCCTCCTCACCAGCACTGCTAATTGCACTCCATTCCAACAGCTCATGGCCCTTCACACACACAAAGGCCCCGCTCCCCTGCCAGGGAAGAGAAGGTCAGTTGCCCAACCTGTCTGAGTTCACGGAGCATGTCGCCAACTAAGCAAGAAGGAGGACACACAAGTCTGGCCCTGGAAAACCCTTGGCTGACTCTGTCGAGGGCATGGGCCTCCAAGCTCACTGAGTCAGTGCAGATAGAGGAACTGAGTTGTGAAAACAGCTCTAAAAAGCAAACAGCATCTATTAATTAGACTTGACTCGGGTGGTCAGGACTGCGGTTTGGAATTGTCAGCTACTTATGCAAAGGGGACTTTAGGTCACTCTGTGCTTACTCCGTTTCCAAAACACGCAGAACCAGCGGATGCTCCTCACAGTCCGGGTGGCCTCCCACATGGCTCCTGCCCAGTCTGTTTTCCAGTGGAAAAAAACACAGGCTCCTCCCTGGAAGATTCCTGGAAGACCCTTCCCCCCATCTTCACCTTTCAGTCATGGAAGCTTCGTCATCACTGCTGTGTTTCTTTCCAGGGCTCTTTCAGAGAACAATCTGGGGTGTTCCTCATCACATGATCGCAACAGCCCTGTGAGGTTGGAAGAGCTGGGACTATTTCCCGATAGATTACAGATGGTCATGCTAAGGCTCTGGGAAGTGAAGTGTCTTCCCCATGGTTAAGCTGGGGTCCTGGATCTGGAATTACACCTAGACTATCTAGTCTGGAATTAGAAAGACAAATGTTTTCAGCCGGGCGTGGTGGCTCACGCCTGTAATCCCAGCACTTTGGGAGGCCAAGGCAGGCAGATCACTTGAGGTCAGGGGTTGGAGACCAGCTGGGCAACATGGCAAAACCCTGTCTCTGTTAAAAATACAAAAATTAGTCCAGTATGGTGGCACGCACTGTAGTCCTAGCTACTTAGGAGGCTGAGGTATGAGAATCGCTTGAACCCTGGAGACGGAGGCTGCAGTGAGCCAAGATCGTGCTACTGCATTTGTGAGACCCTGTCTCAAAAAAAAAAAGACAAATATACCCATCCAGGGCCCTCTGCTGAAGGCCGTGGAATTTGGGCATCTTGATTAGTTGAGTTTAACAAGGGGATATCCTCCACGCTCTGTCTCCTGGCCTCTGCTAGGTATCCTGTGGCTCCTCTCAGCTTAGCCTGCAAGTCCTGTTTGTAGTCAGGATCCTCTGCCAGGGCCGACTGCTCACAGAGGTTTCAAAATAAAGGTACTAGTAAATCCAGGGTGCCTGGAGGGCTGTGGGAGGACCTGAGTCCACTTTGTTTTTCCCAGTGCCTCCTGAGCTCCTAGACCCAAAGCTGAGAGGTCTTCTGCCTGCACAGTCTGGTGAGGGGACCACCCTGACCCCAGCAACCGAGCCCTTCCTCTTCTGCTCAGCTGCTCATGGGCCTGGGCAGAACCTGCTGCTAGAACTGACTTGAAGCAGCCCCCTGGTTCCCTGTCCTAGACTGGAGGGTGCAGGAGGGTGGGGTTCGGTAATTTTTTTAAGTTGTGCTCACTGCTGGATTCTCAAGTGAGTGGCTGGCATATGGTGGGTGAGTGTCCAGTAAAGACCTGTGGAAAGTGTGAAATTACGCATGTGTATAGTGTGCACTCATGCACCTGCGTGCATGTGTATGTGTATACTGTCTTGCGGGCTTATTGGCTCCCGGGGTAAGTGTTTTCTGTTTGTAGGTGGATGTGGGCTAGGCTCCTGGGAGCTCCTGGCACACTTCAGATGAGTGAAGCTGGGAAGAAATCAGGCAGGTATGCAGTCGAGGGAAATACAGTGAGAGGACACCTAAGTGGCTCTCAGCAGGAACGCTGGCAGCCTGCACCCTCATTCAAGCTGTCCATTACCCAGCCCTATGAGGTTGGGCAGTTCCCTCCTTGCTGGGCGTCACCTTCCTCACTTGTAAAGCAAAGAGCCTGAAGTAGGTCAGTAGGTTCCAAATCCTGCAGATGGTCAGACTCTCCCAGGTGCCTATTAAAAGCACAGAACCCTATCACTACTTGCAGCCCACTGAATCCGAACCTCTGGAGCTGGCCTAGGTTTCAGCATTTTTAGTAAGAAGTCCCCACAGTGATTCTGAAGTTGGCAGCCCAAGGGAAGGATGCTTAATGATCTTAGTGACATTCAAGGACTCAGGGCACATAAAAACCGTGGCTGCTGTCCTGGTTCCCGGGGTTTAGGACCCGGGTGATTGGTGGAGAGTCATTGAAAGAAGCCTGCTGAATGGTGTTACACACACACGCCCTGCAATCTTATACACATCCATGTAGCCTCACACGCCAGGGTCCTGGGGAGCACCATTTGTAACAAGGGCAATCTCATTCCTCCCTTTCCCATGTCTTCCTCAGGCTGTCACTTGTCTTTGGTGATTTTCTTTGTCAGTTCTCATTCATGTCCAAATATTCACTGGAGAAGAGAGCTCCATGGGCAGTTGGCTTCTGGTCACACTCGTACTGGTCTGGGCATCAGTTTTCACAAATATAGAATAGGAACTATTAGCCTCCCTCCCTGCAGGAATACTATATAAATGAACAAGGTCAAAAATACAACACAAATAAGCATATATAAAAAGTAAACCCTGGCTATAGACACACTGTCGCTGATTTGCTTGGGCTGCTCTCTGCAGTGGCAGCCCTCTCTGCACCAGTCTTTCCTATAGAACTCTCTGGTCTTCTTCAGCCTCTGTAGGTCTACCTACCTAGTCCCTTCTGCTCCTTTGAGACTGATTTCTGGAGCCATGGTGACAGACAGACTGTAAGATGCCCCTGCCCATGAGCTCTGCCTTCCAGAATTCATCCCCTTGTGTAATCATTTCCTTCTGAGAGTGAACGGCCTCATGACTTGCTTCTAACCGAAAGAATGGGAATAGGATGGGATGCCACTTCTGTGGTTAGGCTACGTAAGATTGTGATTTCCATCTTGCTCATCCTGACTCTCTCCCTTGCTCATTTTGATGAAGCAAGCTGCCATGTTTTAAAGACCCACTTGGCAAGGAACTGAGGGTAGCCAGGGTGGCTTCTGGTCAAAGCTCACAAGAAACTAAATCTACCAACAACTGTGTGGGCTTGGAAGCAGGTCCTTCCTCAGTCAAGCCTTCAGATGAGACACCATCTTGGCAGATACCTTGACTGCAGTCTTGTGAGGGACCTTGAAGCAGAGGACCTCGTCAAGCCATGCCTGAATTTCTGACCCATAGAAGCTGTGAGACCATACGTGTGTGTTATTTTAAGTCACTAAATTTGTAATAATTTGTTACATAGCAACAGATAACTAATATGGACATCTTCTTCAGGAAGTCTTGCCAGAGTTCTTTTCTTACCCCTAGTCAGAGCCAAGCGCTCCTCCTCTGCATACATCTGTCATTACCCTTTACACAGGCTTACTGGTTCAGCCTTGGTTTACTTGTTCATATCTCTCTCCAGGTAGGGATGACATCTCTTTACTGTTGATCTCTAGTGCTTAGCCCTGTGCCTGGCACATAGTAAGGTTTAGTAAGTGTTTGCTGAGTGATTAAGATTATAGAATCTCTATCCCTCTTTACCTCCCTGCCTTTCCCTAGATTTGGCAGTTTGCCTTCTCAAAAAGTAGGAGTGGATCACCCTGAGATTACTGGCTACTAGAAGGCACCAGAGTGCCCTGGGCTGTGCGAGCAGGCCAGGCTAGCACAGAGAAGGTGCTCAGGATTCAGGCCCATGGTCTTGGAGGCCACATGTGTCACCAAGAGGCTGAGAGCGGGCGGAAGAAGAGCTGGGCTCCTCTGCTTTCCACCTGGGCAATTCACCTTCTTTAGCTGGCCTGCTCAGCGTAGACTTCCTACCTTCCTTCTTCAGGTCATCCTGGAATGTTCCGAAGCTGGAATGTCATCGTTTTTTTTTTCCTTTTGAGACCGAGTTTTGTTCTTGTTGCTCAGGCTAGAGCGTAGTGGTGTGATCTCGGCTCAGTGCAACCTCTGCCTCTCAGGTTCAAGCAATTCTCCTGCCTCAGCCTCCCAAGTTGCTGGGATTACAGGCATGTGCCATTATGTCCAGCTAGTTTTTTTTTTTAATTTTTAGTAGAGACAGGGTTTCATCATGTTGGTCAGGTTGGTCTCGAACTGCTGACCTCAGGTGATCCATCTGCCTCGGCCTCACAAAGTGTTGAGATTGCAGGTAAGAGCCACTGTGCCCAGCCTGAAATGTCATTTTGACCAATTAAAAGTGCTATCCCATGGCAGGGCAGATGAATTCCTTCAAAAGGAAATTCTCCAACACAACATAGAAAAAGAGCCCCTTCCTGAGGGAACCAGGGCTGGGCATATGTTCTTCTCCATTCCATCAGGTGAGGAGAGTATACTGGATTCCTGGGGCTGCTGTAAGAAACTGCCACAAACTTGGCTGCTTAAAACAACAAAAATTCCTTCTCTTGCAGTTCTAAAGGCCAAAGGTCTGGAATCAATGGGCTGAAGTCAAGGTGCTGGCGAGGCCGTGCTCCCTGTAGTGGTTCTAGGTGAGAAACAGTCTTGCCTCTTTGAGCTTCGGGTGGCTCCAGGTGTCCTGTGGTTTATGGGATAGTACTTTCACCTCTGCCTCTGTGGTCACATTGTCTTCTCTTCTGTCTATAACGTCCCTGTGCCTTCCTCTAATAAAGACGTGTGTGACATTTACAGCCCACGCAGCTCATCCAGAATAATCTCAAGTTTCTTCACGTCATCCATTTGCAAAGTCTTTGCCATATGAGGTAACATGCACATGTTCCCAAGGTTACAAAGTGGACACTGTCGGGGCTGCCATCACGGGTGTGCCCAGCAGAAGAGAAGCCGAGGCACAGAGCAGTGCAACATCATATTTTCTTTTTTTCTTTTTTTTTTTTGAAACGGAGTCTCTCTCTGTCTCCCAGGCTGGAGTGCAGTGGTGGGATCTCAGTTTACTGCAACCTCTGCCTCCCGGGTTCAAGCGATTCTCTTGCCTCAGCTGAGATTACCACACCCAGTTAATTTTTAAATTTTAAATTTTTAGTAGAGACAGGGTTTCACCATGTTGGTCAGGGTGGTCTTGAATGCCTGACCTCATGATCCTCCAGCCTCGGCCTCCCAAAGTGCTGGGATTACAGACGTGAGCCACTGTGCCCAGCCGACATCACATTTTCATCTGGAAATGGAAGCTGAGTGCCTGAACTCCCAGACCAACTTCTGCGCCACAAGCTACTGTCTCCAAATGAGGTGAGGCCTTGGACAGACAGGCCCAGCTCCCTCTTTGGTCATTTTGTTCTGCAGAGCCCAGCCTGCCTTCTCCTAGATCCTGAGGCTTCTCTTTCCTGCCCCCTCCTTTCTGCTGGCGCCTGCGTGGGAGGCTCTGGCTGCATGACAGGGGAGTCTGGCCTCAGAGCAAGGACTTGGAGGCATCCTTCTTCAACAAGCTTGGTAGCCCCACGTTGGGGGAGGCTGTAAATCCCCCGCCTCGCCCACGGGAAACAGCTGGGTCCCGGGCACATCCTGTGGACTTAACCCTTTCCAGAACTGCGGACTCCTCCCTAGGGCTGAGCTGGGAAGGGACGGGGTGAGAGGGCTTCAGGTCCAAGCAGAGCTTTTGCTGCTCTTGTGTGCGGTGCTGGCAAGAGACCCCACTATTGTTTATTGAGGGGACTTAAGCCTGCCTATCCTGCCAGTAGCCAGGAATGGCTGGGACTGGTTAACCCTTGGTGTGGCTGGCAGGACCAGGGCAGGAAGGGTGTGGCCTGGGGTGCATGAGCCTCCTCTTCCGTCATCGCCAGCATCCAAAAGGCCTTTGTTCAGAACCAGACTACACCGGGCTTTGGGATGAAGGCTGGACCCGCTGGAAAGAACTGTACACCAGCCCCAGGGCGGGGCTGCTGAAATCTACTGTTTAGTGAGCTCTCTCCTCCATAGACTGCAAGTGTCCAGGGAGCAGGGACCTTGGTTATCGTTGGCAGATAATAAATTGTTTATAAATGACCCAAGTGATGCTTCGACTTTCCAGCTTTCCAAAATCGTTTTTCTTCCCCTATCTCTTCTGACATGGGATCTCTGGGAATGTTGTAATAGTTTGAAGGGTGTGAAAATGCTTAGTAAAGTTAGGTCATTACACACCTAATAATAATAGAGATAATTGTCATCATAGTCTCCAAGAAGCTGGAAGAAGATACTTTTATCTCCAGGTGGGTGGGAAGGCCATCCATTAGTACTGATGATTGTAATAAAATCTCTGCTGTGTGGCCTGGTAATAAATTTTCATGAGGTTTTGGTGACCACAATCTTATTTGATCTTACTTGCCCCCTGGAGCAGAGATAATCCTTTCTCACTTTGTGGATAAGGAAATTAAGAATCAGAGAAGTTTAATATGTAACTTGCTCAAAATTGCAGATTGTGTAGTATGGGAGCTGGGATAAGAGCTCAGGTCTGTGGGACCTGAAAACCAGCCCTGGCACAGCCACAGGAGGACGCTGAAGGCATCTTGGAAGAAGTAGGACCAACAGGAGGAAAAGGGAACAAAAATGGGAATATGGGATCCAGAGCAAAGGCTTGGAAGTTTCACTGTTAAATCCGTGCGCAGGCACGGCGGCTCACTCCTGTGATCCCAGCACTTTTGGAGGCCGCGGTGGGCAGATCACTTGAGGCCGGGAGTTTGAGAGCAGCCTGTCCAACAAGGTGAAACCCCCTGTCTACTAACAGTACAGAAATTTGCCGAGCACTGTGGCGGGTGCCTGTAATCCCAACTACTCAGGAGGCTGAGGGACAAGAATCGCTTGAACTCCAGAGGCAGAGGTTACAGTGAGCCAAGATTGTGCCACTGCACTCCAGCCTGGGCGACAGAGCGAAACTCCATCTCAAAAAAAATAAAAAAAAAAATAATAAAATAAAGTAAATCCTTAACCTGAGTGATTTGGAATGGTAGCTGGTCAATACCAGCATTATGTTGAAAGTTAATTGTGGGCCAATACTGTTAGGTGCATTGCGTGATTTCGTATAGTTCATATAATAAAGGCAGCAAGGGAACAAGGATGGGATGGGGTTATCAAGATAGAAGATGGGAGCTGAGCTTTTTCAGGAGGGGCAAGGGCAGGAGGCAGGGTGCGGAGGCACCTTGATTAGCAATGGGACCCAGCAGGCTGGAAGGATACAGAGCAAATCCTGGCACATGTCTGGCCATTGTGGGGTGGGAGGAAGGTATCAATACCTACCGCTGTAGAAGATGGACTAGAGTGTGAGCCTGGTCCCTCTGGCCTGGCCCTGATGAACCATGATCTATTCCTCCCCCAGGCCACAACAGAAAGACAATAGTCCCAGCGAGCCTCCTTGGGACAGGACAGATCGTGCCAGGCTGCCCAGCAGGACAAGGGGCCCTTGTGCAGGCCTCAGCCTCAGATCCTGCTCCACCCTCCGTGCTTTGGGGGTGGTCGGAAGTTCAGATCCTGCGGTGGGAGGGAGGCTGAGAGTCTTTCTATAGGGCCAGTGCTGGGGCCAGGGTCACCCAGAGGTCTCCAGGGAGCCAGGGGTGGGGCTGGGTGGCAAGTTTTGGGTTTCTGGAGTCTGGGGGATGCAGGAGATTGGCTGCTCTGGTGGCTTCTGGTGGAGCTTGAGGAGTGGCCTTCTCCGAACAGAAGTTTCCAGACCTTTCTCATTCGATCCTCACAACCCTGTGGGGTATAAATGCAAAAGATGATTACCCCCCTTCTACAGATGAGAAAATGGAGGTTCAAACAGAAGGAAGGCTTTACCTGAGGCCACCCAGGGAGTAAGAGGAAGCGCCAGCATTCACAGCAGCTCTGGGAGTGGGGATGGAGCATGTGTGGTGAATTTACTCAAGAGGCCAGAAAGCCATCTGAAAGCATGGGTGCCAGGGTCCTATTTGCAGTGAAGGTCAGGGTCCTCTCATCACTCCACCTGTTCCGTCCCTCCCCACCGCCTCCCCCCCCCAATACCAGGGTCGGCTCCTGGAAGCCCAGCCAAGCCTGCAACATTCCAGGGAAGGGAGGTGTGGCTCAGGCTGGAAGCTGGGTCAGGGGGCACAGCGGCCCAGCCAGACTGCCCAAATCCACTCAGCTTTTCCTTGAAATTCCACACACCCTGGGCGTTTGGCAGGAGCCTGGAATGCGCTTCATCTGAACAATTTGTCTTTCATGGTGCATTTACATCAATCACCCCATTGTTGTTTTGCCTTTTCCTGGACCACTCTGGCGCGCCGTGTGTGTGCTGGGAGCTGCCGGATATGAGGTGTGGGGAGGGTGGGGGCGCCCCCTGGTGGCCCAACCTGCACTCTCCCACCCAGATGTCTGCCTGAGCTACTTAAGAAGTCAGATTCATTTCTCACGATGACTCACCCCGACCCCAGCTTCCCACTCCCCATCCTGTTCCCAGGATCCCTGGGTGGAGTAGGAGAGAAAGATTATGAGAAGCAAAATAGCATAGCACAGGCAGGTCAGGCACTTCATGAAAGGGAGGGTCGCTTTGTGACCAAAAAAACCATCCATGGATCCAGGACTTGGGATCAGCCCCCACACTGCCCCAACAACTGTGTAGAGGTGATTCAGCAACCCCTCTGGGCCTCGGCATTATTTGTAAAATAGAAGCAATAGTGTGCAATGGTGCTAAACTCCTGGGCGTGGTCCATCTACGGGGTTTGAATCCTGGCTCTCCCATTTGCTGGCTGGGTGCAAGATGTTTACCTTGAGAAGCCTGTTTCTTGTTCTTTAGAATTGTGAGAGCAACACAGTTGGTCCCGTTATTTGTGGCTTCCATATTTGCAAATGAGTGTACCTGCTAAATCGTATTGGTAGCCCCCAAATCAGTACTTGAGGAGCCCTGATTGCTGGCAGCTGTACAGAATGTCATTTTGAGTCAAATAAGGTGACACGTTGGCTTCTCATTTCAGTTCTCATCTGTAAGCAAGAGTCTTTTTCTTGATCTGTTTAGTGCCATGGTGTTTTTGCATATCCTTGCTTTTTGTTGGTGACTTTACGGTTCAAAATTGCCACCAAGCATAGCACTTAAGTGCTATCTGCCGTTCCTTAGTGCAAGAAGGATGTGATGTACCTTATGGAGAAAATACGTGTTAGACAAGCTTTGTGCGGTTATGAGTTACCGCGCTGTTGGCTCTGAGTTCAATGTTAATGAACAACAATAAACATTAAATGTAACGCCTTTTATTGTTATTTTTTTGAGAGAGAGTCTTACTCTGGTCACCCAGGCTGGAGTGAGGTAGTACCATCACTTCTCACTGCAGCCTTGACCTGTCAGGCTCAAGAGATCGTCCCACTTCAAGCTCTTCAGTAGCTAGGACCACAGATGCTCACCACCACGCCTGGCTATAGTGGAGATGAGGTCTTTCTGTGTTGCCCAGGCTGGTCTCAAACTCCTGAGCTCAAGGGATCCTTCTGTCTCCCCTTGACCTTTTGAAGTACACCATGCCTCAATAAGGTGTCTTTAAACAGAAACACACATCATACAAGGTTATAAATTGATTTTATTTATTTATTTATTTTTAACTTA